CCTCCTCCTCCTCCTCCTCCTCCTCCTCCTCCTCCTCCGGCCCGGGGCGCCCGGGCCGGAGCTGGCCCGGGGCCGAGGACCTGGGGCCGAAGCTGGGGCCGGGGCGCCAAGGCCGGGGCCGGGGTCAGAGCCGAACGCGGGGCTGGGGCGCAGGCCGGAACGGGGGCCAGTATACCAAAGCATGGGGACAGGGCCGGGGCTGGAGTTGGGGCCGGGGATGTAGCCCAAGGCTGGTGCCCGGGACCCGGGGCCCGAGCCTGCCCGGACCGAGAGAGCTGGGGGCCGGGGCCGCGGACAGGGCCGCGGCGCGTGCGGAACCGGCATGACGAGAGGTGGTAGGACGGAGAATGGAAGGGAATGGGGAGTGGGGGGAGAGAGAAAGAAAAGAGCGGAAGGGACGGGGGGAAGAAGAGGGGAAAAGGGAAAGAGCCACATCCAGAGAACCCCTGATCGACGGCATCGGCCGGAGGCCATTACAATCGCAACCTGAGGAGGGGGTAATCTCCAAGGGGGCAGTAGATCCGAAACTCTTTTAAGGAAGGATCATAAACATGCATATAAATATATATATATATATATATATATATATAAAAAGAGAGAGAGAGAGAGAGAGAGAGAGAGAGAAAGAGAGAGATGGTGCATTCCACGTGGTGCAATCGATGTTGTGTGATGGACGTGGTGGAATAAGTTGTGCGCCACGTGTGGTGCAATATGTGTTTTGCAATACATGTGGTGCAAGCTACGCTGCGCAATATGTGGTGCAAACTACGTGGCGCATTGTACTTGGTGCAATTTTTGCGGTGCAATATTCGCAATGAAATCTATGCGGTGCAATTAACCTTTTCCGGACGTGAAGTTGACATCTCCACTGCTCACACAAGTATCCCACCCACCCACCCGCAACTTGGTAAAGCCCGTGCGGCGGCGATTGCGATGACTGATTGGCGCTGGCTGGCGCATCGCTGCGGACGCGCTAACGCGCGCAGGCTCGCGCGCAGAACATACCTAACCTGGCGCGACCGACGCGGCATCGGTGGCGATGACCGCTGGGGACTTCCCAACGCGTCTCGCAGGCCGCGCTGACACGCAGGCACTCCACTGCGAGTCAACTCGGGCAGGCGCGGTATCATGGCAACGTGTCAGCAAAGGCAGACATGACGACGATGTTTGTAGCAATGCTGGTAACGATGACGATAATGACGACGGCAAGGCCAATAACGGCGCCAATGCTGATCACGCCGATGACGATGATGATGTACACGCGTCCGTGATGAGAGCTTCGGAAGGATTCCGACAAACGCGCGCGGCCGACGGGCGCGAGTGGCCTGCATGGTACTATTTGACAGGGACCGTGCTCCCCCA